AAAGCTGTCCTGGTCAGACCCTCCGTCCTGCATCACTGACAAGGGCAAACCACGCCGGAAAATCTGGATGAACTTTTTCTCGACCAATGCAGGGATCGAACACCCAACCTCCAGGCTGGCGAGCCAGCGTCTTACCCACTTAGCCACCTAAATATAAAAGCAAATGACCGTCATTAAATCCTTCTTATTACTACAAGGACGACTGACCGAAAATCGCCAAGCCGTTATCGACAACGGGGTGTTGGGTAGCCAAATTGCCCATGTCGTGCGCTTTAGATCATAAGGTCTGCCACTGAGTCAAGGAGCGTGGTTTTGATTTAATGCTTGTACAGCCTCGTATATTTTCTACTGATCTTGCAGGTCCCTTCCACTGCCGAAAGACAATTACGCGCGGGCGAATTATTTAAATAAAATTGAACCATACATTGGTGCATGACGAAATGACCTAGTTTGTGTCAAATGGGCGTTAAACACTATGCAATAATATCTGATATTGATTTTTTAAGAGATATGATAGAAATGGACTCCTAAATACTTTTGCTCAATGACTGAAATTCAGTCTGCTTTATTCAAATGGTAAAACTATCAAAATTCATTGCTTGCTTGAACAGATTCGTATTCTAGTTCTATTTCTAAAGAGAATGAAATAATTGGTCACAAAAACTAGATACTGGCTCCTCAAAACATGCAAGTGCTGCGAAATAATTATCTTTCAAGCATAATTGCATCTCTACATTTCCTCAATTGTTTGATAAAAAGATAAAGAATCCGAATTCTCTAAACATCAATCATTCCCATAAAGAAACCGTATATACAGTTACTAGAGAATTCCGTTATTAACAGTTGGGTTCCGGTTATTTTTTAAAGATGCATTATGAAAGAATCACATCTACCTTTGTTGTGTCTTTTAGGGGCTTTGAATGTTATATAGATTAAACATTTAATCATATGACAACTAGACCACCAGATGACTTAGAAATACGTTAAACGGTAAGATGGCCGAATTCGCGACTTGATTTATTATCATCTCTCTCTCTCTCTCTCTCTCTCTCTCTCTCATTAGAAGCATCTATAGATTTCCTATTACCTTGTCCGATATATTCGACCTTAATTCCAGAGTAAATCGATCAACGGCTGCTATTTTGTTAGCAATGAAACCTTCTGGGATCTTTAAATAATGGCATGAATGAATAATTTTCCCATTCTCAATAAAGACCGAATTATCTACTGTCACAGACAGGAAATTACTCGCCTATAAAAAGAAGCCACATTTATTTTTAAAATTTAGTACAAGAGATCTGACACGCTAAACTTCTAAATGTGCACTATTCATCTCGTGGAATTAGTTCCTTACATAATATGCAGCGTTGAATAACACATTTGATTTAATAAAAACTTACATAAATATTACGCAAGTAATTGCGTCTATAATATTAGGTTGTTTAAACATACATTATGCAAGAGCTAAATCTGCCCATTGCAGGTCTTTCTTTAGGCCTGAAATGTTATCTTAATTATTAATTAGACATTAATTAACTTATCCACACCATAATTAACTCTCGATGGCATCGCTAGCCTGCGATGTTTATTGGATTAGGTTCCGATTTGCTGTTCGACTTCCATTCATAATTAAATCATGAAATGGATAATCAAGACTATGTTTTTTATCCTACCGACATAAGTAATGATGATCGAGGCTAGGCTGAAAATTCAATCGCTAAAATCTCGGTTAATATTGGATCAATTTGACTGAAATTTTCAACAAATTCCCATTACAGTATCTAGTTTTTAATTATTATAGTGATAACTGTCAGCTCTTTGTCTAATCTCCCATGATGTATCTTTAAGTACTACATGTACTTAGTTTCATCAACAGTGAACACTATTTAAAGAAATACACGACAGTTACTAATGACTATTACTAATATGAGAAAATGAGATTTCCAAAAATAACAAAGACTCCTTGTAAATTTGCCTGAAACGAATTGATTTAAATGGGATAACCCTCCTTATAGGTCAAATAAAGTGATGGGATAACATTTGGCTGAATTTTATTTTCTAAATGCTAACGGCTAAGCGGAAGTAGAAAAGGGTAAATTAACATATTAAAGTATGTCAAAACATCTGCCAGCTCAACAGCATAGCCTGGTGCTAGAGAACCACTGTCGCTGTATAAATTTAAATGGAGAGGGGGGGGGGGCGTGTGACCTAAGCAGTTGAATAAAAACTGCTTAGTAGAGATCAGAAATAAGCCCACCGCTAACAAGATCTGTATTACACGAAAAACAGATATGGGTTAAGGATCTAAAATTATTCCCTAACTTTCAACATGAAAATAAAAAAGTAATTTATGTTATGTTAGTCTTTTTGATTTAACATAGTGTATTACTTTAAAGTAAACAGCCAGACAAATGTTACTAAAACTTAGAAATGAATCCTCTCAAATGTTAGTCTTTAAATGTCCATGGTAATGTGTTCACTATACTGTGAACTGATACGTCTCGTTAATTTGATTACACGATTGAATACAAGATTTATATTACGTACATTATTGTAATGTTATCCTAAGATTCCTTTAACAATAGATATTTCTTGCTTAAATAACACGTTTTTCCTTCTAAAATATAAGCCCTACCCTATGCAAATACATCTACTAAAACTCTTATTAGAGTTTACACTTGGTGTAGTACATCGGGTATTAGTTGTACGGTTTGAACTCAGTTTCAGGTAAATATATCTACATCTGTTATACTTCTATTGTTTTCACAGAGATAGAAGGTAAAATAGGTATGGCTCAAGTGCATTATCTATCAAATTCAGAATGTGAGTAAAACGAATTGTACAGCCGAATAGTAAAAGCCCATCCAATATACTTATTATCTAAATATTACCCATAATATACATTACTATCGGTCTAAGATTCATAAACTCGGCCAGTATTATAAGATAAGTCCATTCTTTTTTGTGCACGGCATCCGTTAAAAACTTCATTTAAATGTTATAACGGGTGCAGGCTGTTTCGTAACCTGGCTGTTTCGTACTTAGTTCATTCGTACCTCACTTCGTACCTCAAACTGATTCGTACCTTTTTCCTATGTTGTTGAAATCAGTTGAAAGAAATTGAATATGCCGAATCAGAATTAGAATATGCACGAGATTTGTACCTCAAATTGATTAGTTTCTTTTCCTAAATCAAAAGGCTGCGGTAAATTTATAAAAATGGCTGCCGAACGAAAATTAGAATACGCACGTGATTTGTACCTCACGAATCATTTTGGGGTACGAAGTGAAGTACGGAACAGCTCATGTGAGGTACGAATGAACTAAGTACGAAATAGCCAGGTAACGAAACAGCTGACATCCGTTATAACCATGGGCACCGATTGACCAGTTCCACACAATTATGGAGTTCTGTTGACTTTTTAAAAAGTTCATAGATCCCATTTTTTTTTAACAAATAAAACGCATTCAATCAATCACCAGACACGAACAGAAGTAATGTATCATTTACGTAAAATCAAATTTCGTATATAAGGTGCAGTATCTTATGATACGGTGTCGTGACTTCCATACAAAATGAACGAAGGTGGTATTTAAGTAAAACGCGTTCAATACACTGAGGAGTTTTTTATCAACACAATATTAAGACAATTTCTGGAGGAATACGCGTCAATTTTTTCCCCATATTTCCAAAACCTTTTATCAGACGATTCATTAAATCAAAACCTAAGTCTGCTCACAGATGCGTAGTCGAAAATTGTAAACCAAAAAAAAGAAGACTTTTTTTTAGGTATCTCCTTTTTGTTTGTGTTTCGTATCTTTTTATGCTCTAAAGATAAACGAGTGTTCTTCAATAACCAAGAACTCCATTTAGCCATAATATAAAGTTGTATAAAACAAACAGCTCGACAGAAATGGATTTTGTTCGTGACATATCAGAACCAGTTCGGATGTAACTATGTCGCCACTGTAAGGATCGTCATAAAAATTTCAATACGCTAATATGAAAGTCACTGAAAATCATTTGCATGTTTTGGACAATATGCTAATATGAAAGTCATTGAACGTCATTTTTATGTTTTGGACAATACGCTAATATGAAAGTCATTGAACGTCATTTTCATGTTTTGGACAATACACTAATATGAAAGTCACTGAACGTCATTTTCATGTTTTGGACAATACGCTAATATTAAAGTCATTGAACATCATTTTCATGTTTTCGACAATACGCTAACATGAAAGTCACTGAACGTCATTTGCATGTTTTGAATAATATCTATTTTTTTACCGCTAAATCCACTCGAAGATGTACTATATTGATTATTTAACATTTAATTAAGAAAACAGAATCATGATATCAAGGCTAGATAACCTCCCGGCTTGAATTCAATCAGGACCAACTGGCGCCTATCAAATGATTTCAGCGAAATAATAGGTGGCACTGGTAGGAGATGGCCATAACCTATATCGTCTGCAGTGGATGCCCAATGTGGACGCATTTTCAGTCCATAATGTCTTTGTAAATACTGAACGGATTTAGCTGTTTTTGAATTGCAAGAAACAGTTATAGTCCAGCGTACTGGCATGCAGTTGGGTATTGAAAATATGCCAGGTCGTAACATCGCTGCCGGGGCAAATTCACCCTCATTGTTCGCGTCTTCATTAGCCTGGTTGGTGCAGAAAAGTTGGAAGTTAAACTCCAATTCATTTCATTTTTATTTTCCTAAACCAAATAAATAATACAAAAACCTTGAAAGAGTCGTAACACTTAATAATAATAAATCAATAATATGTCTAAACATTACTATGTTTCAAAAACAATGTTTCAACATAATCACCTACATATGTATGTCAGTCAAACATGTTGATTTGTTATAATTATATCTGAGTTTATCTGTTTAGCATATTGAATTTCGTGGTTTTTATACGCATGGAGTAAAAGCTGATAATCTCGTATTTCGCCTGAGAGAAAATAACAGAATTCATATTTCTCTTACCTTTGAAAGGATTCACCAACTAATCCAATTGGCACCTAGAATGAAAACAAAACACCTGCATTATAATATGATCGGTAACACATGCATTTTAGACTTATTCAACAAATGAACTGAATAATTCAAATCTTATACAATTATGTTCTGTATAGATTATGATATTTGACGTATGCGTGACACGTTTTTATGGTATTTTAAATATATGTTTCACGGAAAACAATAACTGTGTATGTTAAGTACAGTGGTGAACGTGCACAGACATACTCTAATATAAATAACACAAAATCTTCAATCTATTCATTATTATTATTCACGCCATTGTCAATCGCATAAAGCAACGCTAACGACCTTTTTACGACTGTCGTAAATGGTGTCAAAGAGAGCAAAATTCGAATTGTCATTGCCTTTCGTGGTTGTGAGCTAATGTGATAGTGATCCATTTGATTTTTGAGAAAAACAAAATGTAATTGACGAATTGGTTAAATTTAAGTGTTAAAGGCATAGCAAACTAGATCGTACAAATATGTCTCAAAAGCAAAACAATGTATAGAATTTTAATATCCAAACTATTAATATTATGTAATTAGACACACCCGAGTATAATGGCCTGTCAGAATTAAATAATTACTATTTTCTTTCCCTAAGAGACGAACAGATACCTGTGTCGATAGAAATCAGTATAAACTTTACATATTAAGCGGCCAGATAATTTGTGGATCAAAATGTTTTTTTAATAAAAGTATTTTGGATTGTGTACTTTGGTCTTAAACTCTATATGTATTAACCCCTTATTCTTAAATATTGAGGATTATACAGTTTTATTCAAAAAATTTATCTCGATGAATAAGCCAACATAGAGATATTTTAGCAGGTTTGTATAGCAGCTTATTTCATTTTGAACTAAACCAATTCGACGAAATGGCCATTTGAAAGGAAAAAAGATAGCCCATTAACCTTAACTCATACAGGGCCTATCAAGTAATGGAATTGGTTAATAACACAATTTATGTTTTATATAAAATTGGACATTGACTTCTTACTTTTGATCGAAAAAAAAAAGAAAGAGATCTTTATGCAATTTGTGTCGGGATTAACAGTGGCGGTGGTTGGTACTCGTAGAATGAATATCGTGATACAAACCCTGGTAAACTAGTTTAAAACATCGGTTATTGGAGAATGACCGAAGTTCAATCATTATTCTACAGTATTGTTAAAGGAGATGATTCATCTCTGTTTATATTCTAGGTAATAAGTGACTGTTAGTAGTTCTACTTCTTTCCAAATGATTTTGGCTATTTCCCGATTCAGGCGACGCCATGAACACAATTTTTAATTTCGTGTGGCGTTGAACGGGAACCAAGACCCTTTAAAAGTTGATTTATGCAAGGTGGTGGAGATTTAAGTCAAGGCAGTAACCGAACTTAAATTTGAATCACTAACGTACTGTTAAACACCTTATATTTCAAAACAATTATACATAGAATAGCCACATTGATAATATAATTAGTAAAATATCAAAATTAGTAAACTGCCTTGGCTCCTTAAAATATCGATCTCATATTTAATATAGCTCTAACAATCTGAATACATGTGGGTCAATTGCTATAAAAGGTGTTTAATGCCCCCCCCACCCCGCCGTTAAGTACCAGAAAAGACATTCACCCGAATTCAACGAACATAATATTATATGAAATAATTGATTGGGATTCGGTAAAATTAGATCAACCCAACTGCTATAAATAATTGTCAAGTTAAAGAGGTGCTATGCTTGGGGACTTGCTTTTATAAGAATAAAATCATTCTGATGTGTATATAAATTACGTCTGCATGTAATCAGATCATAACTGCTTCTTTGAAGCTCAGTTCATATCCATCCATCAATCACACTCGTCTAAGTAGGGACTAAAGGCTGTACTTAAAAGCAAACATCAAAGGCATGAATGAAAAAAAGAATAGATCAAATTGCCAATAACGGTAAGATACCAAAGATGTCTATGCAATAGTTTATGTCCGTGTTCATCTTAAATGAACAGGTTAAGAAATGGAAAAGGTTTCTGTGTACGTCCACACTTTGCAGAAAATGCCATGAATTAATGAGCTATTCTGAGACATAGCAACGGTCAAATCTACTTGAAGATTAACAGTATTGTGAATATCACGAATTATCCTTATTAATAAAAATTATAAACAGCACAAAGAATCCTGACATTAAAAAGCATAAAAACAAACTGTGGATGACTTTTACAAAATCAAACAACAGGAATAGGTTAATAAGGGGTTTTTCTTCAGAAAATGATGGATGTTGAGTACAAAGCAGGATATGCAATCTTGTAGAATGCCTGATAACACTTGGCAATCGTTGACACAGTTATATTTAGGTACATTACATTATGGGTGTACACTTACGTTGGCCAGAAGGTCTGTTATCCATGCAAATCAAAGGTTCTACACCAGGTTTGTACATTACACGGTATAGCGTAGCCCACCTGAACTCAATGTTAGCCGAATAGTGACAAGATCGGTGGAAGTTGCGTGGAGATTACCCCATGCCCCACCCCCTCTCTCTCCCTCTCTCTCTCTCTCTCTCTCTCAATAAGTGAATGATATAATCAAATTAATTATAAAGTACCCTCTAGACTAATACTAACATGCAATAAAATAAACAGTATTACGTACACATATCACGAGAATTTAATCCATCAATCATAATAACTTAAAACCAAACAAAATATGTTTTATTACATAATATCAATTATATAACGAGGTTTGATTTTAGACCATAGACAATTTGGCACCAACAATTTATATTACGGTAGATTAAATTGATTGAGTGTAAACCAAAACATGGCGACGGTGGAAGAACCTTCGGGATTTTTCGGTCACGTTTTGCACTTAATTGTCCAGGGTGTCGCATTGATCGGCATAACGTATGCGCTTTAGATCACAGGGTCACTTAATGAGTCCTGTATCGTGGTTGCAATCTCAAGCTTTTCGGGGCTACGAGTACGGTCGTCTGCCTAACCCCATAGCTGATCTCCTCGTCGTAAAGTTATTTCCGCAGTAAATGACGTCAGAGCGCAAGCGAATTATTGGAATAAAGACATGTTAATCCAGAACATCCCCTACCCCCCCCCCCCTTTCTCTCTCTCTGTGTAGATTGAGTCAACTCTCTCTCTCTCTCTCTCTCTCTCTCTCTCTCTCTCACTCACACACACACAGAGTCAATGTAATCAAACAGTCAAGCCAATCGATTCTAACCAGTTAAAAGAATACAGTTAAGACGAAATGTTTAAATCCTAATCCTTTATTTTCACGTTTATTTGGAGGATTAAGACGTCATCCTTATAAATAAGAGTGTAATCTAAATTCAGATTATAAATACATCGTGTAAAGAGAGTGTGTGGGCTGAAATCAGCGCCTACTGCTAGCTGGTGGTGATATCGAAGAAACATCGATACGTGAGTAAGTGAATGGTTATCTTCGGAAGCGTACTAACTGACCCGTGCTCCACGGGGAAGAACATCTATATGCATGCTATCATTGCTATACTAAGTTATATATTTTAAATGGAAACCCCCCTCGGGAACTTTTCGACGGACGAGCTAAATGGTGGCTTGGTACTGTTTTCTATCTAATAAAATGATGAATTTGAAAGTCTGATTAAGCTAATGCTCTAGTTCCCTTTCCTGGATCCAGTATATTCGAGCAAACATGACTTTCTGTTCTGAAAACCGGCCAGCTTCACGGCCCAGGTAATAAGAACACACGTTTACTATGTATTACATTACTCTCCTTATGAACTTAAACACAGATATATGCATTGCACAAAACATTAGCTGTGAAGGGAATTCAAAAGTATGTAAAACAGTTAAAATGCATTGAACATAGCAAAACATAATATGCAGAGAGCTGTACAGTACGCCGTTTAAAGAGACATTATGTAAGATTTAGATAAAGAGCATGCCGTTTCTTGCTTTTATAGTTTAAGAACACAAGTTTGTATTACTTTTCTCTATTACGAACTTACACACAAAAACATGAATTATGTAAAACAGCTAAAACCTACTGAACATAGCAAAACATGCAGAGAGATTAAAGAGACCTTACGTAAGATTTAGATAACGAGCTGGCCTTTTCTTGCTTTTATAGTTTAAAACTCGATGTGAATGTTTGAAGTGTGGACAAGAAATTGCCTAAATTATGACCAACGAATGTCGATTGACAATTCATATTTTTTTCTGCCATTTTTTTTTTTTTTTTAAAAAAAAGACCACTTTAAACTTGAAAGAACACGTTTGTTCCAAACCTATTTATTAACTGCATTATGTGCATATATTTGTATGTGTAGATATCGAGTATTTATTCCGAATATAGTGTTAAGTATATAAGAGGAAAATGACCCCCCCCCCCCCCCAAAATGGGTATCGGCGTTATTTGATATAATCTATATCACAAACAAGGCGACCAAGCCTTACACAGACACCAGAGGAAATGAAATGGGGTTTAACGTCCTACTGTTCTGCTCCGAACTGGACTAATGAAGACGGGCATACACAATACAGGGAAATTTTGCCCGGACAGCGGATCACGCCAATGTGTACAGTTGTTCGTCCCATCCGAACGGCTAGACAGCCGTCCTTGTCAAGCCCTTCGTCCTGCCTCACTAACAAGGGGGAACCACGCCGGAAAATCTGGATGAACTTTATCGGCCAATGCAGGGATCGAAGACTCGACCTCCAGACTAGCGAGCCAGCGTCTTACCCACTTAGCCACCGTGACTCCCCTAGACACCAGAGGGAATCCACGCTTTGGTCGAACATGATTATTTATAATCGGTCATTACACTTCGTCTAGCCTTGACTGGAAAGTTCGTTTAAAGATCGACATGTTCCTATCAGTATCCTTAAGTCTACAAACAGCTTGAAATAAACTTAAAGTATATTTGACTAGAGGTTATCGTGTTATTCTAAAATCCACACGTGTAGGTGAAGAAAAAAAACATTGCCAGACTTCTCATGGATCGTTCGATTTTTCTACT